CAACCAACACTCACCAGTGCAGCAAAGTATTCTGTCTCACTCTCCTTGCCACCTCGGGAGCGGATCACCTCTGTCACAGCTGCCAGCACGGCACAGATCTGAGAGCAGCCAGCACAGCTGGTCAGCACCTCTCAGCCTCACAGCCAGGGGCCATCCCTCCAGACACCCCCCTTCCCCAGCCCTGCTCTGCCCGTACCTCTTTGTGAGCAGCAGAGTTGGATTCCCAGAAGCGCTGCACCTTGCTGAAGGTGACGTTGGTGCAGTCGCTCAGCCCGCTCAGAAAGGTGCCAGAGGATTTCTCTGTGGCAGCCTCCTCAGCACTGCCCTCCTCCATACGCTGGGCGCTGTCACCCGCCCGCTCCAGACGCAGGGACCCCGACTGCAGCTCATTGTGCAGCTTCACTGCATCCACCGTCAGGTTACTTTTCTCTGCAGGGTGAGAGATGTGTCAGAACTGAGGAGTCACACTGCTCCACCATTCACCCCGAAATCCCCCATGCTCCCCTCCCCTCCCAGCCAGACTGGCTTGGCTGGAGCTCATATCCAGCACGTGGAATACAGGTGCTGCTTTGCCCCAGTGGGCAAAACCACAAGAATAACTGTAAAGAGCTCCTTGTTCCTGTGCAAAGAAACCAGAGCACAGTCCAGTCATCTCTGATGACAGAGAGCATCATGTCCACTCAAATATATGCCGGTGTGCCAAGGCTTTAATAACACTGAGATGCTTCTTGTACTCTGCCCTACTTATCTTCCACCTGAAGCCCTAGCAACCAGACAGCCAGGACAGATGCTGGATGTTCCTGTGAGTCCCAGCCATCAGCCTGTATCTGCATGAGATGTTGAGATGAGATTTTCTTGGCCAGGCATCTGCATAGGATGCACGAAAAATATTTCCTTGGCCAGGAGCAGCCAGTGCTCTCAGAGTCCTCTGGCACACTTTTGGTTTACTTTCCCCATCATATGGCCAGCTGAATGTTAGTTTGTCACGTTCCTCATCACACCAGACACCACAGCAACACTTAAAGATATGATGCACCATGCGATGCCCCATTCCGCTTCTGAGGCCTGCTGTCACTACGAGGTTAACTCCTTGCGCCTTGGTCTCAGTTTCCTCCCCGGTTTGCTGCCTCCGCCTACCTTGGAACTGTCAGCGGCTCCGCTCTCACTCCTGCCCCAGCCCCAGCTCTCGGAGGACCCCAGGGTTCGCCCCGCAGCCCTCCGCGGCCCTGCAGCCCTCCTGGAAGAGCCGGGCACATGTCAGGAGCCGCCTGCCCCTGCCCTTACCTGCCGGCCGGCTGCAGAAGCGGCTGCGGGCAGCCAAACGATGCTGGCGAGTCTCGGGGTTGGAGTCGCTGCTGTGGCCTTTCCGCCAGCGCTTCAGCTTGGCCGCGGCTCCCGAGCGGAGCCTCCCGCTCCGCGCCATGCTGGACCCGGCGCCACGTGCGGCCGCGCCCACAACCCTGTTTCCGCTTCCGGCGCCAGCCGCCATCTTGAGTCAGGGCGGCCCTCAGGGAAGACCGCGTGCCGGCCAAGCGGGTGACAAGCGGTGTCGGGGGAGCTCAGCAGGGTCGTGCCCAGTCGGGGCAGAGTTGGGAGACCCGACGGGCCCAGGGCCAGCCACCGGCAAGAGCCCACCAAACATCCCCGTGCCCGAGCCGCGGCCGTGTGAAACCGCTTAGACCTAGCCCGTAGCCCCGGCCGAGGAGTCACGTGTTACGTATTACTGTGTGTCGTGACGTCACGGTGACGCCACGCCCTGAAGGTCGCACCGCCCTTCGCGGCCGCGCCATGTGGTACGTGCGCCTCCGCCTGGCGCGCGTTCAGCGCATGCGCCTCCCTCCTCCCACGGGCGGCGCGCGGGGCGGGGCGGGGCCGAGCGGGGGCGTTAATCGCGCGCGGCAGCGGCGTGAGTAGCAGCGCGCCCCGGTCCCTCCGCCCGCCATGGCTGCCGCATACCGGCTCGTCCTCGTCCGCCACGGCGAGAGCGCCTGGAACCTCGAGAACCGCTTCAGCGGGTGGTATGACGCCGACCTCAGCCCCGCCGGGCAGCAGGAGGCGCGGCGCGGTGGCGAGGCCCTCCGAGGTACCGGTGGACCATGGAGGGGGTGCCGGCCAAGAGGGGGGTCGCGGGGAACGGGAGAACGGGATGCGGCCTAGTGGGGCAACGTCGAGCCTAACGGGTGCTGGTTTGGGGCTCTCCGATGCTGGGCGAGGGCCTCCAGTGCCGGGTCGGGGGTTCAGTGCTGCTGGGTGAGTCGTAGGTACCGCAGTGTGTTCGTTATCCGGTACCGGTCGCGTCCTGGCCGCGGCCGCTTTCTGTGAAGACGAGGACGCGACCCGTACCGGTGCAGTGAGGCCGCCGCCCTTGCCCTTTTCACCGATTGCATAAGGCCGGCCACTCACCTTCCTGGTCTTCCCCCGCCTCCCCCTTTCCCCGTATTTTCTAGATGCCGGCTATGAGTTCGACATCTGCTTCACTTCGGTACAAAAACGGGCGATCCGTACTCTCTGGACCGTCCTGGATGCCATTGATCAGATGTGGTTACCCGTTATCCGGACCTGGCGCCTAAATGAGAGGCATTATGGGGCTCTCACGGGTTTGAACAAGGCTGAGACAGCAGCGAAGCACGGTGAGGCGCAGGTCAAGATCTGGAGACGCTCCTATGACATCCCTCCACCTCCCATGCAGTCTGACCACCCCTTCTACAGCACTATTGCAAAGGTAAGACCCGTTGCTCTTTGACTTCCTCGCTAAGGGTCTCTTAAAAGTTACCTACAGCATGGCCTGGGTTCCTGTATAAGGTCTCCTGTGTGTCTCTGTTGCGTTATCTGGGGCTGTTGTGCATGGTGTTCATAGACTTCAGGCTGAGTTTATCCTGCTTCCTCCCTGTGGAGTTGAACCCCTGAGCATTTTACAGACAGATCCAAAGAAGAGGGCACAATATCTCTGTTAATCATTAGTGCCATGACCCATTGATAAATGTTTGATCTGATTTCTTTGCCCAGATAGGCAATGTATGACTTATCCTAGGAGGGCTCATGGCCCTGACTGTGGCTCATTGCAGCTCCAAACCTCAAAGGCACTTTCTTGCTTCCAAGCCTGGCTTTGCTTACATGTAGTGAGTCCTCAGGTAGAGAATCTGGGGGAGAGATAAAATCTTGCCACCTTCTTCCCACACTGGATGGGGGGCACTGGGCTGCTGCGTGAGCACGGTTGTTCTCCCAGGATCGCCGCTATGCCGACCTGACAGAGGACCAGCTGCCAACGTGCGAGAGCTTGAAGGACACCATTGCCCGGGCTCTGCCTTTCTGGAACGAGGAGATCGTCCCACAGATCAAGGAGGGCAAACGAGTCCTCATTGCTGCTCACGGCAATAGCCTGCGTGGGATTGTCAAGCACCTGGAAGGTAGGTCACCCCTGCAGGGACATCCCAGGGACCCCTCCTTCCCTAGCTGCCACTGTGGGAAGGTGCAAGAGTGACGGCACTGCTGTGTTTGCAGGCATGTCAGAAGAGGCCATCATGGAGCTGAACCTACCCACTGGCATCCCCATTGTCTACGAGCTGGACAAGAACCTGAAACCTGTCAAGCCCATGCAGTTCCTGGGGGATGAGGAGACCGTGCGCAAGGCCATGGAGGCCGTTGCTGCTCAGGGCAAGGCCAAGAAGTGAGGGCAGGCAGCAGAGCACCACGTAGTAGAGCCCCCTGCCATCCCCCACCCCTCTGTTCACACCCCCACAGTTGTAGGAACTCAGAGCTGTGGAGCTGGAGGTGCTCCCCACGGTTAGGCCCATTCCCTCAGAGCAGGCTCCCCTCTGCAGATAGCCTGGGGGCTCCGGGGCGAGGGCTGGACACGGAGGTCTGGTGTGAAAGGGAGCCCTGTCTCTGCCAGGCAGCGACCCCACACCCGTCCATGCTGTGATCCCAACCCTCAGACCCTGTCTGCAGAGGGACAGGCCAAGCAATCCCTTGCCATGCCAGGCTCCTCTTTTGCTTTGCATCCCTGGCAGCTCTCGTCACCTGTTTACTGTAGTTTTGTCACTTGATTTAGTCCTCCTGGAGCAGTGAGGCAAGTGCAGTGCCGGCAGTGACCAAGGTGGGTACCCCATCCCCTCGTGGGTGCGTGGCACAGTGACTGGGATGCCACTGGAAGGGTTGTGTTTTGGTGCACGTGGTGCAGCACCCCAGGGTGATACTCACGACTCTGGGCCCAGCTCTGCCAGCCCCTGCTTTAACTATACTGCCTTCAGACAAGGGTGAGGGAGGGAGCCTGTTGCCTGGAGGTGTGTGTCTGCACCATGCTTCCCCCAGCTGATTCCCATGCTCAGCCTGCTGGTGAAGCAGGTGCTGTTGTGTCCCATCCCTCATGTGTGTACGTGGCCTGTCACTGTGGCCTCCCTCCTGCCGGTGTCGTGAGCCTGGGCTTGCACAGGGTCGGTGTAACTGTCCAACCATAGCAGCTGTCTTGTTCCAGTTCAATAAAGGAGTAATGCGCAATAAGGAAGTGTCCACGTGTCTCTGGGCCATGTGGGCTCCATGCTGCCAGCACGTGCACATGCAGCAGTCACTGCTGGGCACGCACATGAGCGTGCAGAAGCTGTGCCAGGCTCAAAGAGCAAAGCTCAGCTCTGCAATCTCTGTCCGAGAGAGTGATATCCTGCCATGCTCTGGTTTTTGGGCTGTGTGTGCCACACCCTCGTCCCAAAGAGCAGGGCATGCAAGTGTGGCCTGAGGAGATATGTCCCCAGGCTGCTCTCAGCCACCGCCCACACTGGTTAGTGGTGTGCTGAGACAGGCTCTGCTCCAGGCTTGACTCCAGTGTAGCCCAGCGCTCTGTGTGGTTTGTGTCACTCCATCACTCCCCTTCACCAGCACTGAAAATGTGCTTCCTTCTGCCCCTGGTGCTGTGGAAGCTGTTCCCTCACCTGCCTTGCTGCCGCAGCCAGATCAGAGTGCCGTAGATAACTGGCTCCCCCACTGACTAAAGAACAAAGCAGGAAGCTCTCAAAAAAAATTTATTATACAAGTAGCAAACCTGTCCTTGCCAGTGGAGGCCTGGCTGAACCTGTGAAGAGGGTGGGAACCCAGGGACTGCTCTGGCTCCACAGGCCCCAGTGCTGCAGCCCTCTGCCCCCTCAGGTGTTAGGTCTGCAGGAACTGGGGCTGCACCCGGGCCACTTTACGGAACTCCTTGGTGTGTGTCCGTGGGCACTGCATCTCGCACCAGCTGATGGGCACCATCTGCACCCCTGGGGACACAACATGTCAGGGCTGCTCCTTCCCAAGCTTGCACTCCTCCATGTGGAGAGGGAGGCAGCTGCATCAGCTGCCCCTAAGGCAGGGATGAGGCAGCACTGTTTCAGCCCGTCTCTGTCCCTGTGCTGCCCCTACCTGCCTCACTGCGTGCCACCACCACGCCCAGCTCGTTCTCTGCTGTGCTCAGCAGGTAGTTGGACTGTGCGTCCCCCAGGGAGATCTGGTTGGACAGAGGTTAAGGGAAAGACTTCCACAAGGGAGCCTGAGCCATCCCACTGTCCCTGAGGGGGAAGGATACAACTTTGGCCAGGACGATGTCACTGGGGCGGAAGCTCTTGTACACTTCTACCTGCACAGGAGAGAGCAGGCAATGCCACACAGTGCCAGGCTGCTGTCAGTGGGGGGACAGGGCCCCACAAGCAGAAACTAGGGAGCAACGTGTATAGAACAGTTCCTGGCAGTGGCTCACTGACCTTATCCTTCTCTGTGGCTCGGATATCTTCTTTCCTAAAAAAGGAGATGGAGGGATCTGAGTGCCAATAAGCACAGACAACTCAACAGCCTGTGGCAGAAGCTGTCCCAGTCTCCCTGGGCGCTCAGCAGGACCTGCTGGACACCAGCCCAGTGCTCAGGGCAGAGCTCCAGCTCAGGGCAGCCAGCTGCACTGCCCACCACAGCCTTCCTCCCCATGAAGGGAGGGGATTCTAACCTTTTCCCTACCGTATGGTGCCTCGGAAGGTGGATTTCAGCGGTGTGGAGCCAACATACAGGATGTGGACCTTGGCAAAGCGAGAGTTAATACTGCAGACCTGCATGTAGGAAAAGGGGACTCAGTGGTCCAGGCAGGGAAAGGGCAAGGAGCAGGCCGGGCTGCACGGGGAGCTCAGGTCTCACTTGGCCTCCTCCACCTTGTGACCAAGCAATGGTGGGACACCTGGCAGCAAGCCAGGTGAGGAAGATTATACTTGTGCAATTCGAGGCACCAGAATAAGGCTGAGACCTGCAGTGATCCCAGTCCCTCTCCCACCACCAGGAACATAAGAAAATTAATCCCTGGTCTGTGTCATCCTTTCTACAAGCTGCTTGAGGCACTGACCTGCATGCTCCCTGCCCCAGAAAGAGTTATGGAAGGAGAGCAAAGAAAATTGTCCCCTCAAGCCCACCTCAGTCTCAGGGCAGGTGTCCCTCATGCCAATACTCACTTTCTTTGTGAGTGAGAGACTCAAGGGAGCCCCTGGGCTGCCCCTGCCCTGGTGGGAGTTGTACAGAGGGGACTAAGAAGCTCAGGGACTCCTCACCCCACCCTACCCGTGTGCAGGAACAAAGTTCAGTAGGAGACAGAGTCGAGGCCCATGCAGTTTGTCAATGCAGCGCTCCAGTGCCCCACCTTGCATGTCACCACAGCCCCCACGTTGGGCAGGAGCTGGGACTCGCTGTCTCTCACCACCGACACCACGGGCAGCTGCAGGGCAAGACACGAGGGTCAGCACAGGGCACAGCTCGTGCACAGGATCACCAGCCGAGCCCCATCGGAGTCCGATTCCCCGTGGCAGCCCAGTCTCCAGGGAGGCTGTGCAGCCTGGGCGTACAGCACTGAGCCCTGGGGAGGAGCAGCCGTGCCGCGGCCGCGCCCACCTCGTTGTCCTCATTCTTTCTCTCCAGACAGCCCGCCAGCGAGGAGAAGATGAAGCCATGACGAGTGTAGGTGCCGCTGCCAGCCGTGGCCTCCTCCGTGCTGCACAGCCGCTCACCTGCGACACAGGAGCTCAGGGGCTGCCGGAGACCCGGCCCCGGACCGCCCCGGACACAGCGCTCGCTCCCAGCCGGCCTAGTGCGGGGCATTCCCGGGACAAACTCCCCCGTACTGCCTCTTCCCCTACTCCTCTCCTAGGCCACGGCGTCCCCTTTCCGGGCAGTAGCAGCCCCAGCCCAAGGAGCCCCGCACCGCCCCGGGCCGCACTCACCAGGGACGCAGTAGCGTGCGGGAGGCGCCATGCCCGCTGCCGACAGGGCATCACCAGAAAGCCCTCACCCTATTGGTTCCAGACTTCAATGCTGCCCTGTAAGCGTCGCGGCTATTGGTTCTCGCCTACCCGGCGTGAGATATGCTGGGAGCTGTAGTCCGGTGACGGCAGCCGGTGCTCCCGGCATGCCGTGCGCGGGCGCTGCCCGTGGGCCGGCAGGGCCCGGGCATGGAGGCGGCGGGCGCCGGGCCCAGGTCGGCGGCGCCGGGTGGGGGTGTCAGGGCCTTGCGAGAGGCTCTGGGCTTGTGGAGGCTGTGGCTGCCGTGGGGCTGGGCGGGCTGGGCGGTGATACAGAGGTGCTCTGGGGCGGGGAGCGCGGGGGCCGGGAGGCGATGGGGGTGCTCCGTGTGCTGTGGGGCAGGAGGTGCCTGTGCGGAGCCGGGGGGCCGTGGGGTCTGTGGCCGTGGGGTCTGTGACCATAGGGTGCGCATGGGATGGGAGGCACTGGGGGCATGCTGCCGGTCTGGAGGGGCCGGGATGCTGCGGGGCAGGGAGGGCCGGGTTTCGGGGCTGGACGAGGTGGGGCTGTAGGCGAGGGCAGCCTTTGAGGATGGGGCTGAATGGCGGAAAGTGTCTTGGCGCTGTGGGGCTGGGTGCTGCTGAGCGGGGGAGCCGGGCGCTGTCAGCCACCGGAGGGTGCCACAGGGCTGCGCCTGGGTGCCTGGAGCTGGCACGGGAAGGCCTCCTCTTTGCCTGGGGTGGGGCCAAATCCAAGGATCCCCACCCCTCGGCTGTAAGGTTGGCAGTGCTCTTGTCTGTGCTGGTGGTTGCTGTCCCGTTCCCATGGGCTCGGTGCCCCGCGGGGATGTGGGGACGGCCATGGGCAGGGCGAGGGCTGGATCCCAGTGCCCGGCTGGGTAGGGGAAAGTTTTGTGACTCTACTGGAGCCTCATCTCTGTGGTTGTGCTGCTGTCTTCAGGCAGCTGCCTGGGGACAGTGGGTCTTGCTCTGGAGCAGGCTGGCTGCCTCCCCTGTGGGTTCCCTGCCCAGCAGCTGCCGCTGTTGTAGGTGAGGAAGCTTCTCGGGGGGCAGGAAGGTGCTGTGTCTTTGGAGGAAAGGGCTGACCTCAACACCTGCTTCTGGCTGCAGTATTTTGTCTTTTACCACACTGACAGCACAGGGATGTGTGCCACCAAAAGGCTGCACGGCAGGAAGTTGTTGCTCCCCTTTGCACCTGCTGAGTTTCAAAGAAAAGCTTTTGGCAAACCAAAGGGGAAATGTGGAGAAAAGAGTGATGAAAGCGTTTGCATATCCCACCTCTCCCATACCAGGGCAGGAGCCATGCCTGTGACCTGGAATGGGCTGCTGGGTCTGGGGTCCTCATATCCAGCACATCCCAACCTTGGGGTCAACCCCACACTCCTCAGGCAGGGTGGGGGAGAGCCCTGTCTCCTTTGGGCAGCCCATCTGGATGCTGCAGCTTCTGCCCTCACCCTCCCTGGTGCTCCCCAGGGGCTGTGTTGGTGGGCACAGCAGCGCAGAGAGACGATCCCTGCTGGAGGGACTCTGAGCTCTGGCACCAGAGCCTGGCACCAGGCCAGGGCGAGTGCTTGGCCCAGGCTCAGAACGTGCCTTGGCAGGACCCTGGGGCAGCCTTGCTGCTTAATATTGATGGGTATTGCCTGCACGGGTGCCTGGGGCCCCCAGCCCTGCAGATCGTTTTCCCATGTGCTGAGCCAGATCGGGTTCCTCGTCACTCCCAGCAAAGCTCTCAGGCAGGACAAGGGGCTCAGCAGGCAGGGGACCACTGGCCCGGGGCTGTCCCTGGGCCTCTCATTTGCTGGTGTGGGGCACTGTTCAAGGATGGAGGCGAGGAGAAAGAGGAAGTGTTGGGACTCTTGGAGTGAGGCTGTGAAGCTGTGAGGGTGGCCTCAGCAACTTGGTCCAGAAGTTGAGGTGAAGGAAAGTAGCATCCTTCACTTTAGGGAGGGACTAGGAGAGGAGGGATAATCCTTTACTGGCTCATCCACATTTTTGTTGTGTGGATTCCCTTATTCATGAACATGTTGGGAAGGGCTGAAATCATCCCTGGAAATGGCCCAGCATCCTGGATGTTCATGCCTTCTCTGGTTTCCTTTGAGTCAGACTCTCCGTGTCACTCCCCCGGCCCCCTCCCCGCTGGGAAAGACGAGATGGGACCAGAGAGCACCTGAGCCCAGATGCTGAGGGGCCTGTGCCCCCTGCTCCGTGCAAAGAGACATCCCGGCGACAGCGGCCCCGCTGCCTCCAGGAGCTCAGCTTCTCCAGCTCGGCATCCTCGTCAGCTCAGGGAGCTGCACTGCCGGCATCAGCGCGTCGAGGACAGCCAGGCAGCAGGGTGGCCTGCCCACGCCCAGCTCCTGTCCCCCCAGGCGTGGTGTGGCGGGGATGAGGAGCCGGCAGCGGATGTTTGCCGCCGTGATGCGCCTGCTCCTCAAGTGCCTGCGGCTGGGGCGGCGGCGGCGCTTCAGGCTGCTGCGGCAGGTGGAGCAGCTGTGGCACTACGGGCACCTCTGCCTCCGCTCCTTGCTCTACAACTCCTTCACCAACGGCGATGTGGTGCTTGACTCTCTCTTCGAGCCGGTCTACTGGCTGGTGGACCATGTCACCCGATGGTTTGGTGTGGTGAGTCCCCCTCTGGGGCAGGGTGTGCGTGGTGCTGGGGCAACGGGCTCAGAGCTGCCTGTGCTTCAGGCAGGAAGTGAGCTGGGACCTCAGTGTGTGGTTCAGATTGGTTTCCTCTGGCTCTGTCCTGCTCATGCCTCTTCCCAGGCAGCAAGGGGCAGGCGCTGCCCCCTCCAGTGACCAGGTCCCTTTCCTGTAGGTGTTTGTGGCACTGGTGATCGGGCTGACGAGCTCTATTGTGGCCATCGTGTACATCTGCCTGCTGCCCCTCATCCTGCAGACCTACACACCTGCCTGGATATGCTGGCACCTCGCCTATGGACATTGGAACCTCATCATGATTGTCTTCCACTACTACATGGCTATCACCACTTCACCTGGGCACCCACCACAGGTGAGGCACCACGTGAGCTACAGATGGTCACTGGGAACAGCCTGGTGATGTTGTTGCAGGATGCCTCTAAACTGGGGAAGCTAGCCTGGGCAGTGCAGAGTGGGGAGGCACTGGGGTGGCACAGAGGAGAGCAGGAGTGCAAGATGCAGTGTTTAAGATGCACAAATCTCTTCTGATCTGTGCACAGGCCAAGAACGACCTCACTGGTGTGTCCATCTGCAGGAAATGCATTGCCCCTAAGCCAGCTCGCACCCATCACTGCAGCATCTGCAACAGGTAGGACACACTCCCTCTGCCTGGGGCAGCCTTTGGAACCCTGTTCCTCACCCCCTGCCTGCCCCAGTATGAGACAGGGGCCCTTCCCCTGTGCTCTGCCACCTCCTTTCCCTGTCGCTTGTAGCCTGCAGGGCTGGGGGGTGCCTGTCCCCTCCCAAACACACCCCTTGCACTGGCTCTGACACTGGCACCGGTCTCCTCTCTCCCAGGTGTGTGCTGAAGATGGACCACCACTGCCGTATCCTTCTGCAATACTAACCCATGGCACACTCCTGGGGGGAAGCAGCACTGCTTCCCCCTTCTCTCCCAGCCCCTTTTCTCAAGGAGACAGCCAGCATAGGAATGGGTGATGGGAGCAGGGCCCAGAAGAACTGCCCTGGGCCCTGGGTTGGATTTGGACCCATGGTCTGTTACAGTTATGTACCTTTAACCCCAGAGGCAGCCTGGCTAAACAACTGTGTGGGCCACTACAACCACCGCTACTTCTTCTCTTTCTGCTTTTTCATGACCATGGGCTGCATTTACTGCAGCATCAGCGGCTGGGACATGTTCCGGGATGCCTACGCAGCCATTGAGGTGAGCAGCTTCTCCTGCCATGCACCAAGACTGCCTGGCTTCCCCAGGCTGAGCTTGCAGAGCAAGGCTGGGCCAGCCCCAGCCATATAGTGACTGTGCTTCCCCTCTTCCTCCTCCTGCAAGGCCCCCAGCTGTTCTGGTCCTGTGGGGTATGAGGGGAAGGGTCCCTGTCCCACTCCTCTGAGACACATAACTGGTGCCCTGTTTTCCGTCCCCCTAGAGAATGAAACTGCTTGAGAAGGAGAGACTGCAGGTGGCTGCCAACCAGGTGGGACATCCCTGCCCCCCAGCTGCTCCAGGCAGTGTGGAGCAGAGCTGCTGTGCAGGCTGGGTCCTGCTTGGGGCTCCGTTCTCAAGGAGCACCCCACATCAGAACCAGCCCCCATGTTCATCTCACATTTCAGAGAGCTGGGGCTGGTCAGGCAGCTCTGCTACGGACAATGCCTCCAGCAGCTTGGGGTTTGCCTCTCTGCACCCAGCTTCCAGGGGCTTGGGTTGGTGACAGCTTCTTGGCATGTGCTACTCAGGCCATGGTCTCCTGGTGGAGCTGCAGCACTACATACACATCTCTCCATGACCACCAGCTGCAGTGTCCTGACGAGGCCCATGGCTGCTCCCTGCCCCCTTACCTCCAGCCCACTGTTCCTCACACCTGTGCCAGCTCTGGGTGTCTGTCTGTCTGTCTCGTGGCTATCCCAGCTGCCTCCCCCTCACCCTGGCTGTTGCATTAGTTCCAGCTGCAATCCTTTCTTGCTGTCTAAGCTCTGCAGCAGGGAAGGGTGCAGAAATCCCTGTCTGGCTTCAAGCTGTAAAGCAGTTTGGGTAATCCTCCCCATCTGGTCCTTTTTCAGACATACTACCAGACCCCACCACCCACCTTCACCTTCCGCCAGAGAGCTTTCCACAAGAGCGTGGTCTACCTCTGGGTCCTGTGCAGGTGAGGGGGCCCAGGGGCTGGGGAAAACAGAATGAAGCCTGTGACATTGCTTGCCATCTACCTGCCTGTAGCTGGGCTTGCTCACTCTAGCACAGATGTTGCTGCCCTGCCAGCCTTTGGGCCACAGGGAAGGAGAGATTTTGTCTGTCGCAGGAGATTAGACAAGCCAACCCACTTAGGTGGCTGTGGGTGTGGGGAGGCAGCCTCAGCCCCCGCCAGCTGCAGTGCCAGGGAAGGAAGGTCTGTGTTCCACCTGCTGTCCCTTGTCATACCTAGCTCGGTGGCGCTGGCCCTGGGTGCCCTGACGCTGTGGCACGCTGCCCTCATTACTCGCGGGGAAACGAGCATCGAGCGGCACATCAACAGAAAGGAGAGGCAGAGACTGCAGAAGAAAGGCAAGGTGAGCCTAGCCCACGGCACGGGGGCTGGCTGGGGCAGAGCTAGACGTGATGTGCCTCTCCCTGTCCTGCAGGTCTTCAGGAACCCCTACAGTTACGGCAGCTGGGATAACTGGAAGGTGTTCCTCGGTGTGGATGTGCCAAGGTAAAATCCTGGGGAAGCCCCTGCCTGAGAAGGTGGTGGCTCAGCAGCCCTTGGGGTTGTAGGGACAACAGGGGCTCTCCTTGGGCTGCTGGGGGAGAGGACAACAGCAAACATTGATACCACACTGCACTGCACTGGGCTTTGTAAGGTGTGGAAGATGTGGACATCATGGGCCTTGTGCCTTGGGAGCCCTGTCTGGTGACAAGGTGGCATGCCCAGCACACCTTTGCCAAGAGAATCTGAGCTGAGGAACTCAGCCATTGATTGTGGCAGCTCAGGATATGGTTCCTCAGAGCTGAGAAGCACCAAGACTTCACCTTTTGGCTGTGGCCTCACTTTCCCCACAGGCACTGGCTCACCCGTGTCCTGCTGCCCTCTCCTCACCTGCCCCACGGGACAGGCCTGAGCTGGGACCTGCCTCCCTGTGTGACGGAGCAACGCACGCCACTCCTGGCAATCTGAGGCCCTGTGCTCTGGAAATCCCTTCCTGCAGGCAGGGGAGTGTATGGGGAACCCACTCCACACTGCAGCTTCCTTTGGCCAAAGTGCCTGGCAGAAGGCTGGCACATATCAGTGACTGAAGCCAGAGCCATGGGGAACTCTTATGGACAGCGTTGGTGCCTGGACACCTGCCCTCTTGGCTCTTGGTGGCTGCAGGCAGCCCAGGGGTGAGGTGGCAGAGCTGCTGCTCCAGCTGGACAGTGATGCCCTCATTAGCACAGGTACAGGCCAGCATTGGCCCAGCTCAGCTCTCTGAAGGGCTGGGCGCAGAGGATGGCACCCCCAAGGGTGAGTCTTTTTAGGACCATTACTAAATACTGGTTTTTTTTTTAAGGAGTCTGTTTGTGTTATCTTGTGGGGGACATGGACTTCTGGGGATGGGAGATGAGGGACAACAATGTTAAGAGAGAAGGAAGAGTCTATAACCAGCAGGATCTTAAGCAGCTGAACACACAGAAGAGCACTGAGGACCCAGCCTGAGCTGCATGGAGACCCTCAGAGCATTATCAAAACAGATATATTTATTCTTCTGGTACATGGGTTGTCACACACCACACGTGTGCACAGACCTGTCCTCTCCACTCACATGTGGCAGGGGCTGTCCATCACTGTCCCTGGCTGCAGTAGAGGGTGGGCAAGCCACAAGCAGCATAGCTCCTTCCCTGCTGTGGGTGCTGGGAAGGGACTGCAGTGAGGGGTGCTGTCTGCTGGCCTGCACGCTCCAGCCCTAGCACTCGGGGCACTCCTGGGCTCTGAGGATCCAGGGGGTCCGTGGCATTTGGTCGAATGACTTGGTGGCTTAGCGAGGCGCTGGTCAGACTGTTGGTCAGCACAGGGAGGGGACACAGGGTGCTCACCTGCCTGGGCTCCCGAGCAGGAACCTGCAGGGACAGAGATGGCATCATCAGCCACATCCCCTACATGCTGGCACGCCCGCAGCAGCTACTTCCACACACTCACCATTCTCCACGTGCTGCCACTGCTTCCTTCCGCACCAGCCTCTTCTTGTCATCCAAAGGTTTGGCCAGTGCCCGGATAACTCGGCCCTTGTATGGAAGCAGCTGTAGGACAGAAGGGGCTCTTTGTGAGAGAAATGGATGCTGGCTGCCCCCAGGAGGTCTGGGAGCCCTTGCCCCTCTACACGCAGGAGCAGGCAGCAGGGTGCTGCAGAAGCACTTACCACTGTTGTGGGCAGACTGGTAAGGGCGTGGGCACAGCGCAGGGCGGCAATGCGGACAGCCTGGAACAGAGAGGGATGAGGGCAGCACAGGGGGCAGGAGAGAGTGGCATAGCAGGGAGGAAGGAGGGGGTGCACGCACCATAGTGGGGCTGGAGGTGAGGTTGAGGAACTTGGTGACCAGTGTGTCGACATGCAGACTCATGATCTGGGGAGCTTCGAGCAGCAGTGGGTGGAGGCAGCTCAGTGTGGAGAGCTGCACTACACGATCTGAGCAGGACAAGGCCTCAAGCAAGAGGGAAAGCAGCTGCAGAGAGAGGGAGAACACAGGAGTCATGAGTAATCCCAAACCATGTACTCCATAATATCACAGCTCACCCTGCTTGCCACCCAGGCTGGCTCTTACCGTGGGCAGCTCTGTCACCAGCACAGGTTTGGGGAGGTGATTGAGCACATGGGACAGGCCCTTCAGGTAATTGGCCTTCACATCTGTGGAGAGCAGAGATGGTTACAAGCAGCCTGCAGAAGGAGGAGATGGTGGCTCAGGTCCCCTGTAAAGGGTCAGGCGTGGTGAGGCTGGGCTGGGGGTGGCCACTCACCGGGGCCAGCCCCATGGAAGCCTTGCACCAGCTTGGGGACGTTGTCAGTGAAGAAGCGCTGGCGGAACATGATGCGCACGTCAGCATGGCAGCCCTTGTGCAGCACGTCCGGGGACTCGGCCATGAGCAAGGAGAAGCCATCGGCTGTGGCAGGGCCCAGCTCCGTGTCACCCAGCAGGCCCAGCAGCTGCGAGGGAGAGAGCCCTGAGACACAGTGTCCTGCTCCTGAGGGTCCCCAGCCAGCCATGGGGGAGCAAGGCAGGTTTCTTAGACCGCCCAGCCCCACTACCACCTACCTTGTCTGTCAGGGAAGAGCTCAGGGGGTGGTAGCGCAGCACCAGGGCTTTGGTCACCTGTGCAGGTAGAACAGTCAGTGCCAGGCTGGCTCCCCCAGCCCCCCTGCCCCACTCATCCAGGACAGGCCTTACCCAGAGCAGCAGGGTGAGTGCCTGCGTTCGGCGGGGCCCCTCTGCAAGGCTGGGCTCCATCCTGTTCACTGCAAGCTGCAGGATTTCGTCCAGCTGCTGCCCTGGGGATGGAAGGGCCAAGCTGAGCCATTCCTCCTGTCAGCAGTGGGCAGGGACACCTGGCATCTGCCCCAGCCCCCTTACCTGCTGGGTGCTTGTTCACCAGCCCTGCAAAGCACTTGGCAGCTGTGGTGGCCGTGAAGGGACAGTTTGAGGAACAGCTCAATGCCAGCAGCTCCCGGAGCAGCCATTCCTGCTGAGGAATTGCCACCTGGAAGAGACACAGAACGTGTTATGGCCCAGGGCTGCAGCTGCTCCCTCAGTCTGTCCATGGAGCTTGGTGTGGACAGAGGCTGGAGGGTGCTTGGGCAGGGCTCCCCATCAACGTACATCGCGGGGCAAGGAGCAGACGAAGGCCATGAGGAGGGCGATCAGGCGTCTCTGTGCCTCCAAGTGCTCCCCATCCTGCAAGGGAAGAACAGTGTCCATGTCATCACAGTCCTTGCTGCCAGCCTGTGCAAACATCCTCGTTCTGGTGCCCCAGCCCCAATCAAACATACCCCGAAAGGCTGGAAGGAGCAGGGAAAATTGTTTTGGGGTAAGAAGGAGACATCTCCATCCAGAAAGAGGGGCACCACACGAGACACACTCTGGGCAGCCAGCCTAGGAAAAGACATTATAGTGTGCTGCTCTGGAAGGGTCACCAGAGACCACCCAGGAGGCACAGGGCCACCCTGTACAGATAGCAGCAGAGGGCATGCAGCCTGCTCCCTCCCCACGATGGAGGACCCAGCTGCCTGCCCCAGCTTCACTCACTCAGGGCTCAGGTGAGTGGTGGCAGCACTGATGACTGGAATCATGGCAGCCAGCACCTCTTCCTCCAGCAGTGCCTTGCCTGGCAGTGTATGGGTGCTCTCTGCAGGTAGTGGGAGGAATGGAACTTGCTGGAGCCTGCTGTTCAGAAGGAGGAGGCAGGCACAGCCCCCTGAATGCACACCAGAATGGGGCAGGACTCTGGGACAAGGGCAGGGAGCAGTGAAGCCCACTCTTGACAGCCATGGGTGCCAAAAGGCATCAGCAGTGGCACTGACTGCAGGATCAGGGACCCCTGAGAGCCCGGGAGTTGCCTGTTCTACCCTCTCCCACTCTAGCCCTGCACTTACCTGGCATGGCTGCCTGCACAGCCAAGGCCAGCAGGCACGGCACCACTGTCTGGTGGAAGTACCAGCAGCCCTCAGCATCCTGCTGGCACTGCAGGGCCACACGGTGCAGGCTCTGGCACACAGAGATCACATCTTGGGTGTTCTTGGCCTCAGTCTCTGCAGGGCACAGTCACCACCAAGTCAAACAGCCTCAACACCCAGCCCCCTGATCTGCACCAGGATCCTGGGACAATGCAGCTCTTCTGACTCCCACTCCACCAGTGGGATTCACATCCCAGGTGTGGATTCCTTGTACCACTGCCATTCCAGCTCTCTCCCAGCTATCACCAGTAACAGAGGAAGCTCCTGCCCAGACACACTCTGTGGAGCTGCCTGCAGGAGCTCCATTACCTTTCTGCACCTTCTGGAGATGCTGTAGCAGGATGGGGACAGTCTCCTTCACGATGCTGGTGTGGGTGGACACAGCTGCCAGGGCCTGCAGGCAGCGCTGTTGCAAGGACTGGCGCTTGTGGTAGCTCTCCTCCCGCTCTGAAGAGGAAACACAGCTCAGAGGAGGACCTGGGGACACCCCACTCAAGCACAGTCAGGGCCCAGACCCTGCCAGAGTGGATGGGGTGAAGCAGCACAGCAGACCCAGCCCATGCCAGGCTCAAGGCACTCTGCCTGCTCTGCAGCTGCTCTGCACCCTTCTCACAAGGGTGGCCCTGGCCCCACACAGGCTGGCTGCCAGACCAGCCACAGCCTTCCCTGTGCCAGCACACAGTGCCTGTGCTGGGAAACCCCAAGGACAGCCACCGACCTACACCACATAACACAGCCCCACTGCCTGGCAGGAGCCCAATGGGGATGGAAAAGGCTTTACCCCAAAACCAGTCACCACTCTTTTCCCAGCCCTACCTGACTGCAGCTCCTCTTCAAGCCTGGGTACCATGTGTCCAGAGAAAACCTTTGGGTAGGTGGGGGCCAGGGACCCAGCTGCCTCCATTGCTGCTTCACTGCCAGGGGGAAAGAGAATGGGAAAGGTGATGCAAGGACTGCAAGTCCAGGGCTGCTTGTATACCAGCTGCACAGACCTGGCCAGAAGGTGTCTCCAGAACCCCATTTCTCAACAACTTGCCTTTTTCACCCCTCAGGTAGGCAGAGCAGAACCCCTGCTTTGACAGGCTCAACTTTGTTATTTCTAGCCCATGAATTGTCTGGCTTATTCCATACAGTCTTCTTGTTCAGAGAGTTCTTGTGCCTTCCTTCAGACTACAGCAAAGCCAGGCTTTTTCCTCCTCCCAGTGTGGGTGTGATGCCAGCCCTCCCCTCACCTGCTCTGGGAATCCTCCTCATGCAGAGCAAGACGGATGAGGTGATCCACAACCAGCTCCAGACTAGAGGAAGACAGGAAGCCTGTAACAAGAGCCATAGAGGAATCCTACCCTTGGCCAAAGGCAAAGATGCTGGTGTGCTGGACAGGATTCCTTCCCCCTCATCCAGGCCAGCAGCAATGCAGCAGCACACCAAATGCCAGAGATAAAAGGTGCCCAGCACAAACAGGCAAGAGAGAGACCAAATGTCCCTGGAGCTCATGGCTTGGGTAGAACACGTTGCTGCTACTCCTGTGCACTTACAGGCAGCAGACAAGGATGTCCCAGCAGCCACTGTGTCTCTGAGAACACGGTGACACCTCCCTCTGTCTCAAGGGAAAAAAGGCACCAACCTTGCAGGGAGCCCAGGACAGTCAGTGCCTTGATCCCAACCAGCTGCAGCTGCACACTGGGATCCAGCAGCGCCGAGAACACCACAGAACAAACCGGGGCTTGGTGCAACAGCAGAGGGCTCTCATCTGGAGAGAGGGGCATGGAATCACTGCCAGTGTCTGGCTGTCACCCCACAGCCACCATCACAGGACTTGACAGACCCTTTCTGGGGTGCTGCTTCTGATACTCAATCATGCAGGGTCCCTGGGACATGGCAGGGGCTCACACATGCAGCCACACTGGCCAGTGAGTTTTCCTTGTATGTCAGCATACAGGAAAGTGAGGTCAGAGCCAGGAGCTCCTGGGATGCAGATGCCTCCAGAGGGAACAGCCACCCTCACCTTCTTCCACATGTCCCCACTTCTGCTGCAACTCCAGGAAGCCTAGCAGCATTTCCAGGATTGTCCTCCTCTGGCTGCTCTGCAGGGACACAAAGGTGTAACCCAGATCACCGTCACTGCTGGGACAGAGCTACACCTCAGCCCAGCACTGCACCCAGCACCACAGGGTGCCCATGGGATCTCTACCCACAGCTAGGGAAGGACATCCTTAGACACCCTGCTGCCCCCAGGCCCTGTGGAGCCAGTGGGTGCCCCTCACCTGCGTGTGCTTGGTGTACTGCTCCAGCAGCAGGGGCAGGACGCTGTGGGTGATGCGGTGGTAGGTGCGGAGGGAGGCACCCGCTGCTGCCTGCAGGAGTTTGGCACTGGGCCACACCAGCTTCATGTCGGGCTCGCACAGATGGTGCCTGCAATCTGAGATAGGCTGGGCGTCAGCTTCACCGGCACAGAGCTCCTCTGCCTCGTGTGCAGGGACACAGCGGATAGCGGGCTGGGACGTGATGCCAGGGCGCAGCTCTGAGCTGCAGCACAGCCTCCCCAGCTGAGCAGCCTCCTACAGCTCCAAGCACATAGAGTGCAGTTCCAGCAGAGATGGAAGGAGCTCAATCCCCTTATCCTCCCTTTCTGCAGCCAATTACCTTGGAGAAGCCAAATATTGCTGTGAGGACTAGAAAGAAAAGAGGCTTGAAAGAGAAGAGGAAGGCACATCTCTACCTAGGAGGATGCTTTCAGGCCTGGCTGCATGGGGCAGGTCTCTGTTAGCTACCTTGCAGGATGCTGCTGAGGAAGGAATCCAGCAGATCCTCAGAATCAGAGCTGAGCACGGAGCGGGAGAGGCAGGCAGAGAGAGCACGCAGTGCAGCCAGGCATTCCGTCTCAATCTTCTCACTCGCTGTCTGGAACACCTGCAGGAAAGGCCAAAGGATGAGCTGAACTCCACTGCTCACAACAACCACGGGCTTCAGGCTCCCAGTGCAGGCTGAAGGGCTCAGGCTCCTGCCTCACTTCCCATGTGATTTGAACATGCAGAGTGGCACCTTCAAGCCACATGGACATGCTGATAGGGCTGGCCTGTCCCCACCACTTTTTAGCTGGGGCAGTCCAAGGTCACAGGTGCGACTGCTGGGAGACACGGGGCCCGCCTGGTCTGGTTGAGAACTCCTGCTCAGCAGAAGCCCAGCCCAGGTGGAGCCCTGCAGTACTCACCTCTCTGCGCAGGGATGACCAGAGGCTGGGAAGGAATTCCTGCAGCTCCTTCTGCCCATAGATGGCACAGCAGGCAGTCTGCAAGAGGAAGACAGGAGAAAGCATCACAGAGAAGCCAGTACCAGGAGGACACAGTGCCAGGACACCGCTCATCGCGGCAGGTTCATGCTGAGCTGCACAAATCGCTCAAGAAAAACAGGAAAGAGTGATGCAGGCGAAATCAGGACTCTGGAAATTGTGGCTCTGCAAGGGAGAGTCTCTGGCTGGCAGGAAGAAGGGCTCAGAAGTGGCTGGCAGCTGCTACTGCCACAGATTAGCTATAGGCTGAACGAAGTAGGGGATCTCTCCTTACCAGAGTCTGCAGCGAGTCAAGCTTGGCACTTTGCAGTTCTGAGTCCAACTTCTCAATAAGCAGAGGGAGAAGGAACTGCAGAGAGAAACATTTTAATTCAGCTCATCCCTTTTACCACCTTGTCCATGGCCCTGCAAGGCTGCAAGTTCAGCCTCTGCCAGGAGAGCAGAGGTGAAGGGGTACCTGCAATAGGCAGCCCCTTCCCAGGGTGTCAGTCAGCACCCTCCCCATGACCAGCCCCAGCAGGAGACAGGGCTGTCCAAGTGCAAGCTCCTGGTCCCAGTTTTCCCCATCCCACAGAGTCACAGCAGGAGCTGCAGCCCTATGAAAGGCAGCCTGTGCTAAGGGAACAGCGAAGTGCACAAGAATCCCCAGGGAGCTTTGTACCTCAGCAAACTGGGTTGTGGAGGCCAGTACAGCCCGGAGGCTCAAGATCAGGTCTTCCCTCTGGATGCCATGAGGATCATTGGGGGGCTGGAAAGGAAGCAGAGAGCAGGAGACCCACCAGTCAGGCAGGAAACATCGCAACCCGGCCATCAGCCAAGGCTGCATCACTTCATCTCCAACAAGGCAGCAGCAGTGCCAGTCACCACAGCTAGTTTGGCACCTGCCTGTCAGCCTGGGTACCACAGCTCACAGCTGAACACTGCCCAGCCAAGACTCTTGGCCACCCTCTCATCCCCTTCCCTGGAGGGGACACAACCCCCTAAGAAAACACCAGAAAGAAATAAAGTATAGGCTGTGGCACATGGCAGACTCACTCACCGGAGTAAAATCAACAGGGAAGTAGCAGGATGTAACTTCAAACAGCTCCTCCACAAAGGGACCTGCAGACAGAGGAGAGAGGGGGTGAGCAAAGATACTGGGCAAAAAAGGCACAGCAGCTGTGTTCAGCACCCACAATAGGCCAGCTCTGCAGCTTTTAAAGCATGTTAGGGACCACCCCAGGCCTGGTCAGACCCAAGAGCCATTCCTCCAACAGCTCAAAGAAAAGGGATATGTTTCCCAGCTTTGCATGGCAGGTTTAGGCTCACCCAGGGCATAGTCCTTGGCAATGAGATCATGCACAATCTGGAAGGCCACCAGCAGATTGCGGGGATCCTTCTCCCCATCCATGACCTGGATGAAGCCGAAGGTGAAGTTGGCACCCAGGCCTTTCAGCTCTGCAGAAAGAAGGAGCATGAGCAGGTGCAGGACATCAGACCTCACAACACGGCATTAAATCAGCCAAGTTGCCCCAGCCCCACAGTCCTTTTCCAGGTCTCCCAGGCAGAGCCACAGAGCCCTTGGAGAAGGTGAAAGTGAGTCATTTTCCCAGCCTCAACAATCCCAGAGTGATTCTGGCATCTGCTCCCTCACCTTCCTCCCTGGTGCTCATGAAGTTGGTGATGATGCTGTAGACTGTGTGGCGGTCCAGCTGCAGCAAGGACTGAAGGGAGGAGCAGACCAATCAAAACCATCCTGTACACATGGCAGCACAGCTACCCACGACCCCACAGGCAACACATGCCCTTGAGAGAGAGCAGGACCCCCAGCAGCTCAGCTGCTGCTTCCTAGCACAGAGATCCCATTTATCACACGCGAAGTGTGCACATGCCTATGCAATGGCACATGAACATGACTCTGTCCCATCACTGCATGAATACACTATCAGTCACACCAGGGCCACACATGCTGCCCAAGGCACTGCAAGCAGAAACAATCTTATATGTGAGGAGAACTGGACTGGGGGCACTTAAACACTGAGAATGGAGCAAAAGGAAGTAATTCCCCTAGGGCTGAGAAAAGAGAGGATAAGGGCCAAACAGGATTCTTGGCTGTTGTCTGTCTCTCACAGTCTCTCTTGCAGTGATCCAAGCTGTCTCTGAGCTCTGCAGAAGCACTGTACTGTGCTGAACGGCCAATCCTCAGGGCAGTCGGCCACTCCCAGACACACAGGGAGCAGAGATCAAGGACAGGAGGATAGGAAATCACATTGCTCACCTGCACATGTACCTCCTGGAAGATGGCTTTGAGCACAGACACTGCTAGCCCTGGGGACAGCACCTCACACATGCTCTGGGGACAGGAAGAGAAAAGCAAGAATAGAATACCATTATGGCAGCCACATAACAGAGCTCCTGCCTCCACACAGCAGCTGCCTGTAGGATCCTCTTCCACAAGAGGGAGAGCTCAGTATTCCTTCCCCAGACAGAACAGGATAAGATGCCCATCATCTGTGCTGCTCCCCAGGGTGCCCCAGTGCCCAACACAGGGCAAGAAATCAAGACAGTCTCCTGTCCCTGGCTCCTCCACAAGAAGCACAGCAGAAGAGAGGAGAAAAGGCAATGTTGCCAGATGGGCTGACAGCCCAGCCAGGCCCTGCTCGACACAGAGCTCCAACCCATACCCAGGTGTTGCACCTCCCTGACACTGCTGGGGGATGCAGCCCAGCACTGTGGGCTGGGGGTGCGAGCTCACCAGTGCCCGGAGTCCCTGGAGCACCGAGGGAATCACCAGGTGATTGTCTTGCAGCCGGCTCTCATAGAACAGGACCAGGTGCAGCACTGTGAGAAACAGACACCAGGTGTGTGTTAGCCCTAGGAAACACAGCTGCTGGGCGCTGGCCCCAGCTCAACCACAAACTGATGGATTAAGAGTGAGCACATCTTGCACTAGTGAATGGGACAAACTGCTGCTGTTGGGTGCACCCACCTGGCTCCAACACCTTTGCCCTCCTCTTGTAAGCAGCCCACGCCTAACTGCAGCAGGGCAGCAGCACCTCTGGCTGCTGCAGAAGTGCAGGAGCTACCCAAGAGGCGTTTGCCCTGGCCTGTCCAGACACGTGGATGCAGACACCAGCAGCAGAGTGGCAGTCTGCTCAGCGGAGGCTGGAGGATGTCATGGGGTGGGGTACAGAGCTGGGGCAGGAGTTCTGGCTTCCTCCAGCCTGGCTCCACAACACGTTCCTGGCCCCTGAGTCACGGCCACGGGCGCCTGCACACCCCAGCCCTGGGGAGTGGTAGCAGGAAGCAGACTGGAAGAGCCGGCTAGCAGCATCCTGTGCCCACAGCTGCTGCAGAAACTCAGCCCCCCAGGAGGCAGCCTGACGCAGCGCTTGAGAAATTACCTGCGTGAGCAGGGACACGAGGCTCTAACAGAGCTCACTCTCCTTGCTCAATTGCTCTGAGACTCTTTTCTCCTTCAAGTATCCCCACTGAACCTCCCCACCTCTGGCTGCCCCTCCAGAGCACCCCAGTTCCCATCAGTCATCACATCTAGCTACTGCAGTAGATAAGGTTCTATGCACAGCTGCTCTCAGCCCTGCCTGGCTGCAGCCAAAGAGAGCCAAATTCCAAGGACTAAGCATCTTTTACTTCCATCCTCCCCTTCCTCCACCTTACCTACTAGCTAGGCCCCCTGTCTAGCCAGCCTCCTGGCGTAAATTCAGCTTCCCATTTGCAAGGTCCCCAAGCCCAAGCTGAAGCTTGTTAGCACTTTCTGGCTTTCCCTGCTGCCAGCCAGCTGCTATGAGGCATTTAACAGAGGCAGACCTTCTCCTTGGCTCCATGAACAGGGCATCTTCCCCTCCCCACCCTGGTCCATTCTCATCCTTACGCTGATCTCCCCTCCTCCGCAGGCCCCAGGGTTCCTCCTGAGTTAACACGGTCAGGCTGCAGGGCTGCAGTGTGACTTGGTGTGTGAAGGACAGGCTTCCTGCTCTGAGTCATCACCCAAGGATTCTGACATACAGATGTATCCCCAATGTGTCCCACGTGGCGCTGAGCACACCTTGGTGTGCAACACCCACACATTGTCAGGGGCCGCAGCTGTCCAGCAATTGGGGCCTGAATTATGTGGTGAGTTTGGCAAAAAGGCTGCAGCGCAAAGCTTCGTGGACTTTGGACTTTGACTCTTAGAGACATGTACAAGGTTGTCACAGTGTTAAATCAATCTCTTTGCCAATTGCAGGACAGACATTTTAATGGCACAGGCTTTGTCCGCAGCCAGACACTCAAGGGCCAGAAAAGCCCTTACCTTCCTTCTCCTGGAGTAGGGAGTAACACTGTAGCAGGACTTGTGACAACAGCTGGATGCCTCGCCCTCGCATCCGAGGATCTGTGTTTTCCAGGCAAAACCTAGGCCAGGAGGGGAGAAAGCCCAAGAATCCTGTTGTGAGCAGGTACATCCAAGCAGGAAGCACATCCTGAGCAGGCACAAAACCAAAGAGGTGCCCCTCTGTGGGCCCAACCACACCTGACTTGCTGGCAGAGTGGAAACAGACTCCTCTCCCCCTGTCTGTGCTGCATGTGTGCACTCAGCCCCAGAACCATGCAGAAAGAAATCCAAGCTCTCAAGTCAGACCAAAGAAATTGCTCTTGCAGCATGCTCCCAAGATCACAAGGGTCAAAAAGGATAAAGCCTCTTACAGTGAGGCACACCCAGCCCCCAGCTTGGGAGAAAGGAGCCTAGGCTATGACAGTTTGGACACAAAAGCAGAAGCTGAGTGCCAGCCAACTTGTGACATGGTGTTGTGCAGCTGTGTGCTCAGGCAGCTCCTGCTGGGGACAGCCCCAACTGCAAAGTGCCCTGCAGCATGCTGCCTGCCACAGCAGCTCTCCTCTGTCCTGGGAGAGCATCAGGGGCTGCTCCAGCCTTGCTCTTTCCCAAAGAGCTCCCACATCCAGGGAGGGCAAAGCACTGCTCAAGCCCCACTCTGTGAGCAGACAACATCCTGTCCACTGCAATGTGTCATCCAGTGCTGAAGCTCATCCTGGATGAGCACACTTGTCCTTCTCACTATGCCTCCTTCTGGGAATGTCCCCTGCAAGGCCTTTACCCAATGTATAACTTGCGTAAGGCTTTTCTTACCCCAGGGCTTCCACAAGCTGCAGCACTGTCCACCTTCCATCCTTCACCCCTGGAGAAAGAGGTAAAGAGAGTGAACCAGAGAGATCATGCAGGCATGTTGCTGGAGATGGATGCTGGGACACATCCCAGCACTGCACTGGGAACTGCCAGTCAGTGCTGACTCCTCACCAAGCACCAAAGGAGCCATGTGCACTCAACTGGTGGGGCTGCCTCCAGCCCTGCCTGCAAACACCTCTGAGACTGAGAGCTGAGAGGAGACAGCCAGGGGAGAACTTGCCTGCACTTTGCCTCACCCTCTCCCTGCAGCATGGCTGTATGTGTGGCTCCTAAGAGAAGTCTTGCTGTGTTCCACTTCTCTGAGATACTAAAACCCCCTTTTCCAAGGTGAGCATGCTGTGAGGAGACAGAGGGCAGCTCTCCAGATGCTTCCTGAGGGAGAACTGGCTGAACAAGCAGTGCAGACAATAGTGATCACTCAGCTTCCCACCTTGGCTCCATCACCTCCATGCTGTGCAAGAACTGCACTAACTCCTTCCAAGATGGAGGGCACAGAGAAAGGCAGTTTTGTGGTCAGAGGAAGATAAAATGCTGGGATTCCTGGAGTCTATTTCCAACTCTGACTCAGATTCTTTGCAAGGTTGCCTCATTCACCTATGGCCTCCGTATTCTTGCAATTCAACTGGGGGAAGAGTCACTCCTCAGGAGGCTTTGGTAAGGACCTGCTTGCTGCACCTTACAAGAACCTTGGCAGAAGGGCAGGTTCTCCATTCCTGCCACCCATTGCCAATGTGGCACCTCCCCAGAAGGAAAGCTCTGTGTATGCCCTCTGCTCAGACATATGCTGGCAGGCAAGGGACTGCCTTCCTTCAGACCCCTAACCTGCAGTCAGGTGTCAAGTGACATTGCTAGAAAACAAGCAGCATCCCTAACTTTCTGCCTGGACAAAACAGCATTCTCATAAAAAAACCCCAAATCACCTGGCAGTCACTGAAACTCACTGTCTTTGCCCAGGGGCACTTTTGGGCACTCTGGAGGGACCTGCTCACCTCTCTGCCCTGCTAAACCTACATGACTGACAGGGCACTCACCCTCTCAGAAGCCCAAAGGTTTCATTATGGGCTTTCCCAGGCCTTGTTCCAGCCAGTGTCTCCTGCTGCTGCAAGCCTTTACTGTCCCTTCCTAAGCAGTTAATTCCAGTATTAAGACACACTGTTCATCATAGAGCTGTCTCTAGGGATGGGATGACAGTGTTTTCTGACAGTGTGTTCTGACAGCAGGCAGTCCTGACTCCAGAGACAAAGCTTTCAATCCCGCCTGGCGCAGCAGGGAGAGGGAGCCTGAGCTGAGAAACAGAACAGATAAGGGGAGCTGTGTGGAAAAAGAGCCCAGCAGGTCTTGAAATTGACAGGCACAGACTGAAAAGGGGGCACCCTCAGAGACAGCCATGATGTGCTGGCAAAATTTCCTGCAGAAAAACAACAGTGAAACAGCAAGCAGATGCTTTGCACCAGACAAAGCAGAGTGGGCTGCAGAGAGAGCTTGGATAGCCCCTCCACATCCAGCATCCCAATATCTTGCTCTGCAAGCTCATGAAGAGCCCTTGTGCCTCTGCACCATCACAGAAAAAGTCTGAGACAAATGCCATCTCTGTGGCCAGGTGCTCTTCCTCTCTGTGTCTGCAGAGACTGAAAGCAGCTCTATACAAAGCCTCTAGTTCCCTACTCAACAGGAAAGAGCTGCAGTGTGATGGCCAAACCACAGTCAGGTACTGATGCACCCTGAGGTCAGCAGCTCCTCTGCTCAGCTCAGCGAGGGAGCTCCCTGTACTGTCAGGGACCCAGGTGTGACCAGCTTTGCCTTACATGGTGTGGCCACCCCTCCCTGGCACAGCCTGTGAGTGTGGTGTGCCTGTGGCCAGCACAGCTCATTGGACCTGCCTCATCAGCACAGCAGGCACAGTGGTGAGCCCTGAAACTGCTGCCTTCACATCTGGCAGCTGCACATATGCCCCAAGGTTAATTAGGCACCTTGAATCCCTCTACCAGGAGGGGCTGCCTTGCTATTCTGGCATTGCTGTAGCTCCCAGAGACTTAGCAGAAGGAAGTCATTCACCCTGTGCTGGATTGCTACTCTGAACCAAGCTGCTCTCTTTCCTGACAGGTCTCTCCCTCTTTCAGTGTCCTTTTAGGTATTAGTTGCTTCTGGAGGACTTCCATTCTTGTTTCCCGCACACCTTCAAAATGTGAGCACAACTTTCACAGGGAATGTGTAATGGATTCTGTAACAGTGGTATCCTTCTCTCCCCATTTTTTAAGATGAATTCAGCCTCCTCCTGCCACCCACTGACCTATGCAGCCCAACCTGCCTGTGACAGCACCAAGGCCTTTAGGCCACTTGCCAAGCTATGCTCATTTTAGTCCTTAGCAACAAACCGGTGAAGCTCAGTGTGTTTGTTACAGCAATTGCACAATGGCCATGAGCTTAGAAAAGACCTCCCTATCCTTCTGCTCAAGGATACACAATGCAATTTAATCCTTTCTGATGTGTGTTTCTGTACGAGGTCAGAGGGGCTCAAGGACACTTGCCAGCCCCACTGTTTGTGAAGGTGGACTTGTCACAAGAGCCACACGGCTGAAAAGAGCTGGGAGGAGCAAGAGGGTAGCAATTCTCTCTTGGAAAAGCTTTCTCCAGGCACTTCCGTAACATGACAGCAGGTGACAACAGCAGTTGTAAGGTTATCCTTCCCCAGGTATACCCCAAATATGTCGGAGACTGCGTAACCCTTCTGCAACATCTTGAATGTCACATAGGTTAGAGAATTCCTCCCAATTTCCTTGGCATTTTCTTCAATCTGTGTTACATGGGCCACTGGGTTTCCTTTCTGTTTTGCCAGCTCATCTCATCACCAAGACACTACATAGCAGTTCACAAGCCATCAGGCCTTGGGAAAGGTTCTCGAAGGTACCTGTCTATGTAATGTAACATACACAGACAGCCCTTCTCGGCTCTCCGAGCTCCTTCCCGAAACATGCTGAAGCCACTGCCTACACACACAAGAAATCAAATACCACCTTATCCTTAGAAAGCCACATTCCTGAAGCTGTGACTTCCCTAATGCAACAAAGTCACCCAATTGCTGATCGAAGGAGAAAGATAAATTATCCGACGAAATCAAATGCATAGGTCTTGCTAGAAACCACAGTGAGGGTAGTCTGCAACTGTCATCTCCCACGGTCCCTCAGCAAGGCCATGAGCTCTCGTCCCACTGTCGATTTCTCTGCCACGCACACGTGCTTCGCTCCTGGAGCCCCTGACCCTCGCGGCTGTCCCGCTCCTACCGCGCACCTCCTCGGCAGCTCCGAGCTTCAGGCCCTACCCTCCCCATTCCCACGTGCCCTGCCCGCACGGCAGCCCCACAACCCACAGACACGCTCTGTCCACACCCTACCCTACCCTACCCTACCCTACCCTACCCTACCCTGCCCTACCCTGCCCTACCCTGCCCTACCCTGCCCTACCCTGCCCAGCCCGCAGCCCCACGCTTCCTCCCAAACCCCTCCCCACGCCGCCACGACCCGCCCGTACCCACGCCCGCCCCAGGCCGGCCCCGCCGCCATGCCCACGCCCAGTCCCGCCCCACCCCGCCCCCGCGCGGTACCTGCCGCCACCTCCGCGGCACGGCCGTCCTGCTGCCCAGACACGAAGTCCCGGACGGAGGCGGCGAGAGCCTCCGCCCCGGCCCCGGCGGCCGCCATGACACCCGCGCGCAGAGCCGCGGCCCGGCCCCCGCACCCCGCCTGCGCCTGCGCGGGGGCGGGGCCGGCGGTCACGTGCGCCCGGGGGGGCGGGGCGGCCCCGCGCGCACGGGCGGGCGCAGCGCGGAGCCGGCGCGGCCCCGATGCCGAGCGCCGCCGGTCGGCCCCGCCATGGGCGGCTGCGTGGGGCGGCAGCGCCGGGAGCGGCCCGCCGCCGGCGGCAACAACCGCAAGCGAGCAGGTGAGCGGGGGTCGTTCGGGCTGGGCACCCCCGCGATCGCGGGCACTGGGGCGGGGGCGTCCCGTGTTCCCCTGGGGGTGGCGCGGGAGGAACGTGGGCACCGGAGGGGCGCAGTCCGCCACGGGACAACTTCCCCCTCGCACAACCTCAGGAGCCGCTCTGCGCCCTCGGGGTTCCCGGACCTCGGGGGTCCCGGTTCGGTGCGCGGCCTCGGGAGCGGACAGGAACCGCGGCTCCCGTCCCGGTGCCCCGAAGGCTGTGCGGGGTGAGGGCTGCGCGTCCAGCCGAGCCCTGCCGGTTCCCGGCTCCTCCCGGGAAGTACTGTCCTGGTAGGTCTGCAGGGTGGCGGATGCCCCGGTCCGGGCTCGGCAGCGTGCCCCGCGCGGCACAGCGCGTCCTGCGAACGGCTGGGTCCTGCTCGCTCGCGATCCGTGCTGTCCCGTACACCCGGCGGCTGCCGGCGGGCGCCACCGCCTCCGCGCTGCCCCGGGGCTCCGGGAGGTGCGGCCGGGGCAGGGAGCGGCTGCGCCGGTCCGGAGAGCAGCGGCGAGACTGGTGCGGCCCCGCGGCCCCCCGGAGTTACCGGTAGCCGAACTCCCGGGTGCCGTGAGGCGCTTCCCCGTGATGCCATGCCGGAGGATCCCGGAGGCCGCGGGGATGGGTACGGCGGAGTTTTGGCGGAGAAGCCGTGGGCTGGTAGGATGAATCACGCCTTTCCCCTGCCGCCTCCCCGGCCGGTGCCGTCGCAGCCGGTAATTACCGTGTTTATGGCAGAGCGGTAGTGGGCGGCGGGAGAGGAGGGGCAGGAAGCGTGTGCCCGGGACGGGACGCCCCGGCCCCCGCCCGCAGCTGGGATGAGGGAGGGAAGGGCGTTCTCCGTGGGACGGGGCTCGCCGCTCCGGCTGCGCGTGCGGGGGGCCGTGGCTGCCGGGCCAGGCTGTGCCCGTGCCCGTGCCGTGGGCAGCCGCCCCCGCCGTGCGCGGCTCCCGGTGTGGCAGCCTGCCCCGGGGATGCCCTGCTGGTATCGATTGGGGTGATAGCTCCCCCACCCCGACTCACTTTGCCCCCCAGGAGTGCCTTCTTGCGGGTATCGGTGAGGCCTGGGGTTCCTGGCTGACTGTTCTCTCAGCTAGGTGGGATGTGGAGCCATTGTCATTGCCTTGTGGCTCAGGCTGCTGTGATGGGGGTGGGATCAGATCCCAACATCTGGATCTGTGTGATCCCCTCCCGCTCCAGGCAACAGCTGGCTGCAGAGCCTGTGTCTCGATCCCCACTTGCTCTGCTGGGATGGGGCATGGTCCCTTCCTGGTATACTGCTGGAGTTGCTGCTGCTGCTTTCTTCCAGTGTGTGCCTTCCTGGGAGAGCAGGGCTGTCCCTTGTGCCAGGTGCCCTGGCTGGTTCCTGCCTTTTGGTTCCACCAGCCCATGGGAGCTGCTCAGCAGGTGATGGGGGATGAAGCAAGGCTACAGCTGCTCTCACCAGCAGTATGGGGACATGCCCTGTGCCAGCAGGTCCCAGTACACGAGGACCTACCATCAGTGGGATGGGGGCACTGTCTGCCCACCTCTGCTGCCACAGGGGCCCTGCTAAGCAGCCCACCTGCCTGGCCAGCTCCTGCCCTGCCTGGGGCTTGTTGTGACCCCCTGTGGAGAGGTCCTTTGAGGACTCCCGGCAGCAGGTGACAGCACTGTCCCTGGGGTGGCCAGCTTACCACAGCAGGAGCGGGGGATGCCCGTGGCATGCAGCATCCCAGCCCTGCCTGGCTCTGGAGTGGACCAGCCAGCACTGCTGGAAGCAGTGGTGTGTGCCTTCTGGCTGACATCTTCTCTGGGGCCTCCAGGACCTGTCAACTGGGGCTGCCTAAGGCTCCTGCAGGCAGGGAGCAAGCCCAGGGCAGGGAAGCCTTTGGGTCACATCCTCCTGCCCGGGGGTCCCTCAGCAGGGCACCGTGGGGGCTGAGCCACGGGCAGGGTGCTGCAGGCACAGGGCAGGAGGAGCAGGCTGCCAGCCAGATCCTGTTGGCTCGAGGCCGGGCACAGCGAGCGGATGGACCTGTCTGGTGGTGCTGCCATGGAGAGTTGCACAAGGGGCTAGGAATAGAGCAGCAGGAGGTGATTAAAAGGTGCAGGCCCAGTTGGGTGGTAGCAATAAATAGACTAGGCTTAAGCCCCTGCCTACCTGGGCAAGGCTGCTGGGCATGTCTGTACACATGAGGCAGCCACTGCCTGTCCCTGCTCCCTGCCACATTCGACCCCCACAGCTCCAGTCCTGCTGCCTCTCCTGGGCCAGCCTCTTCCCTTTGTTGCAAGCAGAGCTGGGGGAATGGTGCTGACTGGGAGTGCTGGCCAGGAGTCCTGGCTGTGAGAACATGAGCCCCAGCCTGGTGGCCATAGCAGCGTGGGGACATGATCCCAGACATGTCCTTGAGGCTGGCTGTGGACACTTCTCCGCTGCCCTCCTGGGGCAGGTGTTGCCTCTGACCTTGCCGTGTCCTGTGGTGCTGCAAATCCCTGTGGCCCAGCACCGTGACTGCTGAATCGGCAGCGCTGGCTGCAGCCGGCTGCCCTTGCTGCTCTGGGGATGTGGGCAGGATGCTGCCTGCCAGGGATGCTCAGTGCCCAGCCCCGGGGTAGCTGAGCACCTGTGCCCCTTGGGGACCCCTGAGGTGGGTGCTGCTGGGAGGCAGATGCCATGCTGGCTCCAGTGGTCTTGGGCAGGGTGAGGCAGGGCTGGTACAATCAAAAAGATCACATAGTGCTGTGTGTCAGCACACACTTGCTCAGGAGCAGCTGCCTGGAGAACTTGGCTCAGCCACAGCTGGCGGTGGTGGCTGTCTCCAGTGGCTGGGGTGTGTGGCATCACCTTGGCTGGCAGGTTGCTGTGTGGGCACAGGCATCTTCCTGCCCAGCTGGAGCCTCACTTTCCCTTCATCCTGTCCCCACAGGAGGGGCGCTGCCTAGCCAGCTCAGGGAGGGGGGTGACAGGAAGGAGCTGTTATCATTCATTGTCCCCCGCTCAGCTGGGAGTGACAACAGCTCCTTCCTGCCCCACGTGTCCGGCCTGGCTGTGGGACCGGTGGGACAGGGCTGTTCCCACAGGGCCACAGCCCAGGGTAGTGAGGGCTTGGTGATCCGGGACTGGCATTGGGGTAGCTCAGATCCCTGGGCAGTGCTAGCTGCAGAAGGTCTGTGGGGATGTGGCTAGGGGCTGTTTTGGGGAGAGCCAGCTCAGTTCAGCCTGTTGCTGGGGCACCTGCAGTCTGGCAGCGATGCCCTCTGTCCCCCTGGTGCCTGAGACGCTGTGTACCTGCTGTCCTGCCTGCAGCTGGTCCCTATCATCCCAGGGTGGGCAGAGGGGACAGTGAAGTCCTGACCCCCCTTTGCTGCAGCTCAGCCTTTGTAATCCCCTTCTTGTTCCAACTCACCAGCTTATTTCCTGGCTAATTCCCCAAGCTATAAATACTGTGCTGCCTCAGAGGGCCCCAAGGCCCTTTGGCTACCCTAAGGGGCAGTGGCTGGTCCCCCCAGCAAGGAAGCAAGAGCCCTTGTCCCCCCTGGGGACACAGTTGGGGGAGCAACTGCCGTGGGGCCAGTGGGATCTTGGGCCAGGCTTGCTTAGGCCAGCTACCTACCCCTGGCTACATTGGGGGCTGTTGTTCACTGGACAGGGTGATTCCTCAGACCCTTGCTGGGGTGCAGGAGGTCTCCAGGAAGAACCTGTGGTTGTGGGGAGGTGGGGGGCTCAAGACCCGAGGAGAAATTCTGTCCTTTGGCTGAATATCCCCCTGTCTGCAGGCCGCAATGAGCCCCTGAAGAAGGAGTGTCCCAAGTGGAAGAGTGACTACCCCATGACAGACGGGCAGCTGCGCAGCAAGCGGGACGAGTTTTGGGACACGGCACCAGCCTTTGAAGGCCGCAAGGAGATCTGGGATGCCCTGAAGGCAGCTGCCTATGCTGTAGAAGCCAATGACCACAGTCTGGCCCAGGCCATCCTCGATGGAGCCAGCATCACCCTGCCCCATGGTAAGGGTCAGCACTGGGGGTTTGGGTGGGGTGTGTGCTGAATGTCCCATATCTGGGCACATGGGGGTCCCAGGCTGAAGTAGAAAGGTGCTCCCACCTGCCATGCAGAGCCAAGGTGAGAAAGGCAGGCTGTGCCACACTGCTTGAGGTGGCCCTGTCCCCATTTGAGTGGTCCATGGGGATGCCCACCTTTAGCATCTTATCCTGCTGTCCCCAGGGTCCCTGACGGAGTGCTATGATGAGCTGGGCAACCGGTACCAGCTGCCCGTCTACTGCCTGGCACCCCCGGTCAACCTGATCCTGGAGCGGAGCGAGGAGGAGGCGGTGGAGCCGGCCGAGCCCCCGCCCCACGCCCGGCGGGAGTTCACCCTCAAGGTGCGCCTCTCCACCGGCAAGGACCTGCGCCTCAGCGCCAGCATGAGCGACACCATCGGGCAGCTGAAGAAGCAGCTGCAGGCGCAGGAGGGCATTGACCTGGCCTGGCAGCGCTGGTTCTTCTCAGGCAAGCTGCTCACCGACCGCACGCGACTGCAGGAGACCAAGATCCAGAAGGATTTTGTTGTGCAAGTGATTGTCAACCAGCCCCTTCCACCCAGGAACTGAGCCACCCCCTGCTGGTTGAGGGGAGAGCGCAGGGGGCTGGGGGACAGTGGCACCTCTGGGGATTCCCTGTGCTGTGTTTTGGCCCATCTGGAGCTGTTCCTGCTCCCCCCTGAGGCTGCCACACAGGTGACCCCCCAGGAAGGTCTGCGTGGGGCTGTGCCACCACAGTGGCTCCCCTTGGCCGGGGACACGGGCGGGCGCCGTGTTTGCTGAAGGAGGTTTGAGACCAAATGTCTCTGGGGCTGGGGCTCCTCTGCCAGGCTGTGCCGGCAGGGAGAGGCTGTGACCCACTGGGCTCTGGCTTCCCCCTGGCCAGGAGACCCGTGGGGTGCTGGGCTGGGTGGAGATGTCTCCCCTCTGTACATAGTCTGTATTTATCAATAAAGCCTTTTCATCCTTCCTCTGGCCTTGGGGACAGGCTGGAGGGGGCTGTGACCCATAGCCACAGGTGGTCCCTGTGCCTGTCCTGTATCTGCTCCCATGTCAGAATGGGCACAGGGTGGTCAAGGTTAGCCTGGACACCCTGGCTCTGCTCCCTAGTGCCACCCTGACCCTGTCCTGCCAGCCCTGGCTGTTTGCTTGCCAGGATCCTTCCCCTGCATTGTCCCATTGTCATCCCGGCTGCTTCTTAGTGTGGGGTCACCACCTCCTTTTCCTGGTGCTTCCCCTCTGGAAGTTTAAGCTTGTGTCTCCCCTTGAGCTAGGTGGGACAGTCCATGGAGGGGAACAGTCCCAAGACTACCTTCATGGCCACCATGGCCTGCCCTGGTGGAAACAGTGTCCTTCTGCTGTGGGAGGCTGTCACACCCATGGGACAGGGCACCCCAGGATGGCCCTAGGAGCTGCCCAAGAGGGTGACAGTGACGTGTAGCTGTCCGTCCCTCCCCCAGCTCCTGTGCTGGTGGACGGTGCCCAGCGCATTAACTGTCCCAGCACAAGGCAGTGTTGGCCTCACCTTACAAGGGGGGAGTTCTCAGGAGGGTTGAACAATGTTCCTGCTGCTGGGAATAGCTGCCAGCTCTGCCTGTTGGCCCCACGTGAGGCCACTCTCCTGCTGCCAGGCTGCCATGTGCTGTGGGGGAGGCCAGGCAGCCTCAGGGACCCTGGCAGAGCTGCTCAGAATGTTCCACACCTGAGGTCATCCTCTAAAGCAGCACAGAGGGGCTGTGACTCCTGGCATCCCATGCTGCCTGCTGCTGGCTGAGAGACTTGAGAGGACCCATTGCCTCCCTTTGGGGTGGGCAGCCCCCCCCCAGGCCCCCACCTTGCCCAAGGTGCCAGGGAACCTCGGGCACTGTTGGTGGCTGCTGCAGCATCTGATTGGACAGAGATGGGAGCCATGGGAGCATCTTGCTTGCCCGGGATGGGTGGCACAGGTGCCATGCCTATGGGGTGACCCTGGATCATGTCCCTATTCTGCTGAGCCTCTCTTGACTGGCTGTCACAGGTTCTGCACACCGCAGCTCCCCATAACAAGCACAGATGTCCTGGTCAACCCAGGGTGTGTGTGTGGGGGGGGTGTTCTTTAAGAGAGTGTGGGGCTGGAGAGGTGAGTCAGGGACAGAAAGCAGAGGGTGAGCTCATGGCAAAGCTGCCCCAGTCATGTGGAGCAGCCACAGCTGTTGGTGCCCTTGGGCTGTGGGACAGAGGGGCCAGCAGCATAAAGCCCCACGGCCAGCAAAGCCGCCGGCAGCACCGGGAGCCAGGACTGGGAACTCCCTGCCCGTGGTAGCAAGAAGAAGAGGACACATCCAGCACAGGACTGTGCACTGCAGGCAGACATGGAGCTGGATGTGGAACGGGCCAAGGAACTCATAGAGCAGAAGCTGGCAGAGGAGGAGGAGGAGGAGGTGGGTCCACAGGGCAGGGGAACCTTCCTGGGCTGTAGTAGGAACCCCCATTGTACTCTGTCCATGCTTAGGGACTCGGATATGAGGAGGCTGGCACTGACCTTGCCATCCTGGGGGATTATATGAACGTGTCCAAGGGCTCTCAGGGGGATCAAGTTCCCAACCCGGCAGCTCTAGCCCATGGGGCAGAACAGAGCAGCCGGCAGGTGCCCAGCTTACCAAGCAGGGTGGGCAGACAAGCTCAATCCCGAGAGCTGCCAAGCACCCCGCAGACCTCAGTGGCGAGTGGAGCCATGCCCAGAGCCACCTTCCCCAGCAGGCTGAGGATGGAGGCAGTGGGGCTGCTCTGTGCCCAGACAAGACCATGCAGCACCCGCTGTGCCTGTGCAGAAACTCAGAGGGGATGGAGCACGGGAGCCGCCGGCCGTGGAGCGGATGAACACACCTGAGCTGGAGGAGGAGAAACGCCGTGGGCCCAGGAACTGGGGCCTTGAGGCCATCAAGGTGAGAGGGTTGGGCTGCAGGGTGGCCAGGGGTGGCTGGTCACAGGCAAGTCAAACGGGGCACTGTGTGTGCTCACCAGGGCCAGGAGAAGGTGCGGAGGAGTTCAGTGGATCTGAGGCGGGAGATCATCGATGTGGGGAGCATCCAGCGGCTCATCGAGCTCCGCAAGCAGCGCCGGCAGCGCCGGGCAGAGCGGGCAGCCACCCCCGAGCCCACTCCACCACCTGAGCCCCTGGAGATTGTACGTCAGGGGTCCCAAGCTGTGGGAGGGGGCTGCTGGGGTAGGGGCTGGACCACCCACAGGCCAGCCCCCGGGTCATCCTGCCATTCAGGGACCTCTCTGGGGAAGCAGGGCAGGGGGCTCCCATGTTGTCCCCTCTCCTGCACCCCTGTGCTGCCCCAGCCCTGAGCCTGTGGCATTGCCAGGAGGGTCCTGTGGAGCCAGAGACCTTCCTGCGAGCTGCTGTCCAGGGCAAGATGCACGTCATTGAGAAGTTTCTGGCAGATGGTGGCTCCCCTGACACATGTGATGAGGTAGCATCCCTGGCAGCCTTGGGACAGGGCTGGAGGTACAGCCAGACTGGGCAGAGGAGGATGCCTCTGTCTGCCAATGTGCCACCCTGTCCCCCAGTTCCACCGCACAGCCCTGCACCGCTCCTCGCTGGAGGGACACATGGAAATCCTGCAGAAGCTGCTGGACACTGGGGCCACTGTTGACTTCAGGGACCGGGTGAGGCTGGATTCTGCTTCCAGCTGCATGCTGGTCTGAGCATCTGGGTGTGTTGCAGCCAGAACTACGGCAGGACTGGGGACTCTGCAGTGGGGCAGTGCTGTCCCCATCACAGAAGTGGCTGCAGGCAGGGCTCTGCCAGTTCAGCTCCAGCACGGGGACCTGCTGGGGCGGGGGACAGGCACAGGGTAGGGGTGTCCCCCACCATAACACAGCACTGTATGTCCAGCTGGACTGCACTGCCGTGCACTGGGCCTGCCGGGGTGGGCACCTGGATGCTGTCAAACTGCTGCAGGACCGCGGGGCAGACCTCAACGTGAAGGACAAGGTGAGCAGGACAGAGCAGGTCACAGGGTTGTGCCAGGGGCAGGGGCATACCCTGGAGTACCAGAGCTGACCCTCTGTTGGGTTAGCAGCTGTGGGTGCTGATCCCCCCTGATGTCCATCTCATCCCCCCTTAAGCTGCTCAGCACACCCCTTCACGTGGCCACCCGAACCGGACACCTTGACATCGTGGAGCATCTCATCCACTGCGGGGTGGATATCAATGCCCCAGACAGGGTGAGTGCTGCAGCCATCCAGGCATCACTGCGGGCAACACTGATCCCCCTCCAAGGGCTTCCAGCACCCACGGTGGGGCACATCTGGACACACACATCCCTGCCCCAGGGTGGTTGCAGCCACAGCCAGGTCTGGGACAGGAATGGTCCTCCTTGTGTGGAGATTGGCATGCTGGGGACTGAGGAGCAGTGCTGGGGACAAGCAGAGGGTCCTTGTCCCTGGACCACACTGTCCAGTGAAGCTGTGTCTCTCACAGGAGGGTGACACAGCGCTGCATGATGCCACACGGCTCAGTCGCTACAAGATCATCAAAACGCTGATCCTGCACGGGGCTGACATGATGGCCAAGAATGAGGTGAGTGTGTGGGGCCAGCACCGAGGCCATTTCCTGCCCCCATGTTGCACCACCCTGTGCCCAGCCTCTCTCTGCCCACTCTTGCAGGCTGGCAAGACCCCAACAGACCTGGTGCAGCAGTGGCAGGTGGACACACGCCAGGCGCTGGAGACAAAGGAGCAGCCACAGGGGGAGATGGAGGTCCCTGCATGATGGCACCAGGCAGGGACCAGGGGCTGGGCCCAGCTCCAAGGAGCAGGATCCAGACAAGGCTTGTCTGTGTCAATAAAAGTCAGCAAAGAGCAGCGTTTGGCTCCAGGTGGCTTTGAGGTTGGGCAGCCTGCACCAGCGTTGATGGGCCTGGGAAGCTGGGTTATCCTGGGAGCAGGGTTATCTGGCAGCATGATGAGCCCTGCCTCCTCTCACTAGGACTCAAGTATTGGTGACACCAAGTGGTTCAAGGGCAGGACTCCTCGCTGCAGGAGTCCTGATTGCTCACAGTCTTACGAAGTCCCACCTGGGCAAGCTCAGGGAGGAAAAATTCATGGACAACAGTTCAACCTGCGTCCATGTTGTGCTGGAGGCTGGGGCTGTGCCAGAGAGCAGCAGCTGTACCTGTGCTGGACAGCCACTCTGTGGGCTTGGACGGCTTCTTGTCCTTCTGCCTTTCCTGCTGCAGCCGTCCCCAGGGGACAGTGGTCCCTCTGCCCGCATGCTGAGTGCAGTGCTCACTGCTCCCTACAAGGAAATGCTCACTCCGGTTTACAGGAGACCCTACCCTGGCAGCTGGATCAGGTGATCCCTGACCAAAGCCGTGGGACTGCTTGCAATGCCTGGTCCCTCCTTGGCCTTGCAGCCCAGCCCTGTACGAGGCAGAGGGTTGGCAAGCACAAGGGAAAGCCACGGCCGCGGTGGCCAAAGCTCACCTGGAGGGGCGCTGAGCTCCTTGCAGCCGTCCCTTGGAGGGGGAAGAACATCCTGAGCTCATCTGGTGCCACCCCCCCGTGTCACCTGCCCAGCAGGGTCGCGGGTCCCTCACGTGCCCCGTCAAACATTAACAGGCGCGGCAGGCGGCAGAGCCCGCGGCAGCCCGCAGCAGCTACCATGGCCCTCGGCACCCGCCTCGCCACCTCCCTCCGGCCCGCCCTGGCAGCTCTGCACCGGGCAGCCCCCAGGCGGTGCCGGGGGCTCAGCACCCCGCAGGGATCAGAGCCCTCATTCAATCTCGGCGGCATCTTCCCACCGCTCGCCACCCCTTTCTCGCCCGCACAGGAGGTGGACTATGCCCAGCTGGAGGGGAACCTGCGCCGCTACGCCCGCATCCCCTTCCGAGGTAAGCGCTGCCCCTGTCCTCCTCCGTGCCGGCTCCCGCCCGATCCCCGCCTGCCACAGAGGCTGTGCAGGCAGCCTGCCAGCTTCCCAAGGGTGCTCAGCCTCTAGCTGGACTTTGCTCCGTGGCTGGCAACGCCTCGGGTCACCCACCTGGGGCCCTCTGCACGGCACGTGCCCAGGCACACGAGTGTGTCCTTGCACACCCCCAGCACACGCCAGCACGTGCTTGCACACACGCTCCACACATGTGCAGGCCTGCACACATGCTCCACTCATAGCTGCAGGCTTGAACCTATGCAATGCACTCCCATGCACACTCTGAAAAATTCATGGGATATCTATCTGTTGATTGCCAAGGATGGATAGATGATAGGAGAGGAGCTGCAGCCTCACAAGGATGATCCCCAGTCTCCTCTCTTCTGACCAGGAGGCTGGGACTGCAAGGACATAGGCAGGAGAGGGCGCACTGTGGGCTGTGGAGCTCTGCCTGGGTGCCAGCAGCAAAGAAGGGAGTGAGAGTAATGTGGATCCCTGACAGTCCTGGCACCCTTCTCCTGCCCTCCCCACATTTGTGTTCCAGGGCTGGTGGCACTGGGCTCCAACGGGGAGTATCCCTACCTGGCATCCCGTGAGAGGGTGGAGGTGGTGAGCTGCGTGCGCCGGGCTCTGCCCAGGGACCGCTTGCTGCTGGCTGGCTCGGGCTGTGAATGTGAGTGCCTATGTGGGCAGCGTGGGGGGCAGGCAGGGCCATGTGTCCCCCCTGGAGCACCCCTCACCCCTTTGCCTCCTCCCCAGCCACCCAGGCCACCATCGAGCTGACAGTCAGCATGGCAGAGGCGGGGGCTGACGTGGCACTGGTTGTGACACCCTGCTATTACCGGGGGGCCATGACCACTGCTTCCCTGATCCATCACTACACAGAGGTGAGCCTGTCCAGTGCCTGCCAGCCACCCCAGCTGGGGCAGCAGGTTACACACATCCAATGTGTCCCCAGCCCACCCCAGCTACTGAAATCTGCCTGGCTGCCTGCAGGTTGCTGACGCATCCCCCATCCCTGTGGTGCTGTACAGTGTCCCTGCCAACACCGGCCTGGACCTGCCCTTGGAGGCTGTCATCACCCTGGCTCAGCACCCAAACATCATTGGGATCAAGGACAGCGGTGGGGACGTGAGTGGGGCAGGACTTTCCCAGGGCTGCTTACCACCAAATGTGGACCTAAGCTGGGAATGGGGAATTGGGACCTGCAGCCCTTCCCTGGACCCCAGGGCTGCCAGCAGGCACCCTGCAGCAAGGGGCACCAGGTGATGCCTGCCCCAGGGCATGGCATGTCTCTCCCCAGATCACCCGCATGGGGCTGATGGTCCACAAGACAAGGCAGGAGGATTTCCAGGTGCTGGCAGGATCAGCTGGCTTCCTGCTGGCGAGCTACGCTGTGGGTAAGTGCAGCTGCCCAGACTTGGCTGGGGACACTACCTGGCAGGGGGAGGCAGGTGAGAGACTGGGAGGTGCTGGCTAGGCACAGCACTCGGAGCTGGCTGCCACGGTGTCCTGGTGTCTCTAGGTGCCTCTGGGGGTGTGTGTGCCCTCGCCAACGTTCTGGGTGACCCATTGTGTCAGCTGGACCACCTGTGCCGCACGGGCCAGTGGCAGGAGGCCCGTGACCTGCAGCACCGCCTCATTGAGCCCAACACAGCGGTGAGCGGGCAGAACCCCATGGATGCTGAGGGCAGGGGTGCCAGGCCATGACATAGGCAAAGAATGGAAGTCCCTTGGGCTGCAGGAGGTGGAGGGGTGGTTCAGGGGGACAGGATGGCACAGCATCTTGGCCAGCAAGCCTGGCAAGGCTGGAGGTGAGAAGGTGGGAAGTGCCAGCCCTGTCATGTTAAGGAACAGCTTGTCCACTGGCACCAGGCAGTGGTGCGTGACCCTCCGTGAGAGCCTTGCTGGCTATTTATAGGCAGCAGTGTGTATGGGGGAAGAGTTGGTCTTTCCTGGGTCCTTCATCCCCTATGGAGTGGCCTGTCCCTGCTGCAAAGCCCAATGTGCCACAGAGCTCCTGTGTGGAGTCCTGTGTGCGTGTGCTCTGCCCCCTCACCCCACAGTGGGCGCTTCATGGGCTGCTGCAGCCACCTCACACCCTGCCAGCCTTGCAGCCCCACATGGGGAGGACAGGAGTGATGGCAAGCAAAGGAGCAGGGGCTGCACAGCAGAGCCCAGAGAGCATGCTGCCCCATGGGAGCCAGGAAGCCTCCATGCCCTCCCTCTGTCCCACAGGTCACCCGCCGGTTTGGGATCCCAGGGCTGAAGAAGGCCATGGAGTGGTTTGGCTACTATGGAGGTCCCTGCCGTGCACCCCTGGCCCCTCTGAGCCCTGCCCAGGTTGAAGAGCTGAGGAGCACCTTCAGTACCAATGGTTGGTTGTGAGCTGTTCTCCATCTGCCCCTTCCCACACTGGGCAGGTACAGGAGTCAGGGATGCTGGGAACTGGGGACATTCTGGGGACGCTGGGAGGTGGCCAGGAGAAGGCTGCCATATTACTCTTCCCTGTTGGACATGGCTGGACTGGGCAGACTGGGCAGAGGAGGGCAACCCCAAGCCAGCCTGCATCCCTGCCAGCCCCCAGGGACCTGTTGCATTCGCCTGGGAAGGGGTGGATCCTTGTGCCATGAATAAACCTGCAGTCTCCTCTTTGTGTCTGCAGTCCTGTCTGTGCAAGGCACCCACTCCATCCCTGCTCCCAGCAAAAAAGACATGGCACAGGTGTTTGGCAACATGGTTTACTCAGCTGAGGCCCGTGCAGGCAGCAGCACAAGGCAGGGTCACAGCAAGGCACAGGGCCCGGTGTGGGCAGAGACTGGCAGGGAGGCACAGCCCCTGCACTGGGCAGTGAGGGCTGCCAGGACCCCTGTGCCACAGCCAGCCAGACCACACTGGGGGTGAAGGTGAGCATGCAGTGGGGAGGTGAAGGATGCTTGTGGGGGGCAAAATGGGGAACTGTGTGCCCCCTGCCTGCCCCGTCACCATACCTCTATCCCCGCTCTGCCCAGGCCTCCTGCTCCAGCCCTGGCATTCCATGCAGCCCTGCTCATGTCCTCACTCCAGGCTCCAGCTGATCCTTCTCCTTGCTCACCATTGCTGCCATCCTCACCAGCGTGCAGCAGACATGTGCCAGGCTGGGCATTCCCCAGTCGCTCTTGGTGGGGATGCTGCTGCTGGTGTCCCCAAGGCAGTGGGTGGATAGATTGGCACAGGGATGAGGGGAACACAGCCCATTGGCTGGCCTGAGAGCAGGCTGGGTTCTTTGGGGACACAGTGTCACTGTACCCTGGGCATGCAGAGGGATGGCCAGTCACCCAGAGCTGAGGGTGCAGGCCCAGGGTGCATGCCTGGGGTGCCCACCCTGCCTCCAGGACCAGGGCAACAAAGTGAGCCAGGAGCTGCCCCTCTGGGGGCACGTGGTTCAGTCAGCAGCTTCCAGCCAAGGCACCCTGGCAGTGGGGTCAGGGACCAGCCTCTACCCCCCTGCTCCATCCTCTGCAGCTGGCTAGCAGCTGTAGTGGTCCACAGTCTTCCTGGGGGGAAGAGGGGCCAAGCCCCTGCCACCCTGTCCTTCTGCTGCTCCAGCAGGTGCCAGGGCTACAGCCAGAAAGAGAAGGCACCACGGCTGCCCCAGGGCACTTGGGTGGAGAGCGGAGAATCCCATCCCCTCCAGCGGCAGGGGTTTGGCAGGAGGACGCTTGGAGAGGACGAAGGGCAGGGAGGGGCACCCAGCAGTGCCACATCCCTTCTCCAGGGCCAGCCAGTGCCCAAGTAGGGGGTCCCTGCTCTGGTGGGAGGGGATGCAGGCTCCCTCACGCTGTCAGGCTGTGGGCAGACTTGGAGGCGCCCTGGGCCCTCTGGATGATGGCCGTGCACTTCTCCCGCCGCAGCAGCTTGTTGTTCTCAAAGAATCCCTCATTGCGGGGCACGCCGTGCGAGCCATCAGGGAAGGTCAGGAGACCTGGGGAGGGGAGGGAAGGGCCGGGAGTGAAGAGGCAGGGAGCTGCACCCAGCGGGACGGGGCCAGGGAGGTGCTGGAAGGGGCTGTGCTGAGCAGGGGCCATGCAGCACTCACCGAAGCCGTACACGCGCCCGCCTTTGAACTCGCCCTCAAAGGTCATGTTGTCACAGCGGGTGAAGACCCCAACGCCATTGAACTTGCCCTGCACAAACTCCCCCTCGTACCTGTGTGGGAGGGTTTCCTGAGGCAGCGGCTCCCCACGGCAAGGGGGAATTCCCAGGGAGGTGTATGCGGGAGCGCCGTGCCCACCTGGAGCCGTCGGAGAAGGTGAGCACGCCGCAGCCATGGAAGAGCCCGTTCTCAAAGTGCCCCACGTAAGCAGTGCCATCAGCAAATGTCAGCTGCCCGATGCCGTGCCTGCGACCTGGGTGAGAGCAG